GTTATCCCTTATCACTTAAAGGGACTTCTAATCCAAATATGATTTGGATTAGCAACTCCTAATGGGATTAGGAGCTGATCCCTTTAAGATTATGAAAAAAAGAAAGGGGTGATACAGTTAGTGATTGATGTTCAATCCTCTTCAGAGCTGAAAATCACAAGAAGAGAGATTTCTGCACCCTGCGAATTCTCTCTTGTTGCCTCCTTCCTGCTGCCGCCATCACCCTCAGTTCGATCTCCAGTTCTTGGGAGAAGTCAAGATCTGATATTGATTCCAATCTTTTGGGAAAAGATTGGTTGGAGCTGTACTTACAAGCCATCCAGTTGATTCTTGCGAAGGGTCATGTTCTTTTGGAAGAACATTGCTGATTCTGTTCCATCCTACACTGCGCCATCTTCAGTGGGAGCAGATTTTGGATCCTTCCTTGGGCGTGAACACCTCCATTGGGAGATATTGTTTATCTGTATCAGGTACATCCTCCCTCCTACTCCTTTTGGTTCAGATCTGGTTTGGTTCTTGATTCAAGATTGATCATTGAAAAACATGTTTTTCTAAATACAGGGAATTCGATTCCTTGCAAAGATAGGAGAAATTTTTGAAATTCACCCTATCCATTCCGCAAGACTTGGGCGTCCATGTGATGGATATCCCATCCCTTCACACCCAAATGGATGTTTTGAGTTTTTTGAGGATGCACAGCTCTAAGATGGGGAATATCTTATCACGCAATGTTGGGGAATTGAAGGTCATTGCTGAAAATGTTTTTGCTTTAACTAACCGGGCAAAAGTCATAGAAGATATTAAATGCATGAAGATTGCCTCCCTTAATGATGTTCCAATTGTTGAAGCTTCAGATGCTACTGAAGAAGATCACACCCAGCTTATCGATGTATGTCTTCTCAAGCTGCTTCTTATATTAAGTTCTGCTTCACGCTGTTCTACTTCTCCAGCACCGACTTGCCATTTGCCTGTATAACTGTATTGCAGGGAAAAGGTAGGAAACTTATAGGAACGTTCTCTCCAAGTGATCTGAGGGGATGCCTAATTGCTTTACTGCTAGGAATAGCAATGGGGCGGGTTTGGGAGGGGGCACCCCCTCCCCGTCCCAGCCCCGAAGTCATGATACCTTGCCCCGTACCCACCCCATCCCCGGTGGCGGGGCAGGTTCGGGGTGGGGCATCCATTCCCCATCGGGGATAGGGAATCCCTGAATTTTCTCCGCTCCAAGGCAATTACTTAAAAATTATCTATTTTATGGACAATTTATACATAGGATATAGGAATTTGGGGGTATTTTAGAATTGAATTATAATACTTTTGGGGTAATTCAAAAATAAAATTATGGGACCCTAGGATTTTAAAAATTTAGGGAAAAAATAGATATATTTTAAATATCAATATTAAACCTAGAGATATTTTACTAATTTACCTTCGGATTCGGGGCAGGTTTGGGGAATTATATACAAAACCCATCCCCGCCCCGTACACGGTTTTGGGAAAAGTTATTTTTCCCGTCCCCACCCCGTCCTTGTTTAGAGTCGGGGAAAACTCGCCCTGTTCGGGGTAGGGTGGGGCAGGGCCCCAATTTTACGAGGGAAATTGCCATTCCTATTTACTACAGTCATGGCTGTCTATTAGTGTTGTAGAGTTCATAGAGCATATATCAATAGTCCCCAGTAATCTTGCGGGTG